GTCTGTCTTTAAAGTGTTTTGTTAGTTTGATGTGTTTCCTCATTTTGAGGTCGCCATGTCTCAGTGCTTTTATGAAGAGAGCGCATCTGCGCACATTTCGGTGCATCAAGAACTGGGTTGACCGGGTACTCGGTACCACCGGTACTTAAAAAAACCTGGTACCGTAACGTTTCCATTTTTTTAGTACCGACTTGGTACCGATGTACCGGGTCACAACACTACAGAGACGAACAGGATCGAATTAGGCACATTCGGATAGTGTATCAAGAACCGGGTTGACCAGGTACTCGGTACCACCGGTACTTAAAAAAACCTGGTACCGTAACGTTTCCATTTTTTTAGTACCGACTTGGTACCGATGTACCGGGTCACAACACTGGCGTCACGAACAGGATCGAATTAGGCACATTTAAGTAGTCACACGTCTCCAGGCCCACAAGTTGTTTGTTGTCAAGTAAGAAGATGTCTGAGCAGAGAGAAGCCCTATCCTTAACAAAGGTGGTAATTGAGAGCCAGGCCTCTACGCAAACAACACCAGCTGCCATTTATATCCCTAGAGACCAGAAGCTCCCTTATTTCACTGGTTGCATGTCAAAACCAGGAGAGCGGAGTATTGAAGAATGGGTGGCATCAATGAAGTCTGCATTTCAAGTCATGAGGGTACCCACTGAGGACCGGGTTGAGCTAGTGAAACAGCACCTAAAAGATCAAAAGAGGAGTCTGTTGACAACATCTTCACTGTTCTCCTTGACACTTACGGAGATAAAATGCCCATTGGTACAAGGCTGATGATTCTATGATCATGCTCAGAATACAGGAGAAACAATATGCTCCTATGCATATGACCTTCCGGAAAGACTTACCATCACCTGCAGTTATCGTAATGAAGAAAGATGGCAGTGTGCGTTTCTGCTGCGATTATCGAAAGCTGAACCAAATGACGTATAAGGACGCTTATCCGCTTCCACGGGTGGATGAGTCCTTGGACGCGTTGGGCAACGCCAAACTGTTCTCTACACTGGATTTGACTGCTGGGTATTTCCAGGTGGCTGTGAGTGAGAAAGATAGGGAGAAGTCAGCCATCACCACCCCATTTGGGCTGTTTGAGTGGACCAGGATGCCGTTCGGGTTGTGCAACACTCCGGCCTCCTTTCAGCGCCTGATGGGTGTGGTGCTGGGCGACTTCGCCTTCGACATTCTTCTGGTCTATCTGGATGATGTCATTATCTTATCCAGAGATTTTGAAAGCCACTGTGAGAGGTTAGAACTTGTCTTTAACTGGCTAAGACAACATGGTCTGAAGTTAAAGCCAAGCAAGTGCTTCCTTCTAAGGCCTGAAGTAAAGTTTTTAGGGCACCAGATCTCTGCAGAAGGCATAAAAGTGGATGATGAGAAAGTTAAAGCTTTGGACACATGGCCAGTTCCCAGAAATGTGAGAGAAGTCGGGCAAGTGCTTGGTTTTATGAGCTATTACCGAAGATTTTTTATAAATTCCTTATTACCGAAGGTTCGCTCAAATTGCCAAACCACTACATGCATTGGTAAGTGGAGAAAATAAAAGCAAGACCCCAGTAACATTCACTTGGAGCCAAGAATGCCAGACCGCGTTGAATGAGTTTAAAGGGTGTTTAATGTCCCCACCAATTCTGGCATATCCTGACTTCAGTGAGCCCTTTAGACTGACCACTGATGGAAGTCGATACGGACTGGGAGCGGTCCTCAGCCAGAAGCAGGAAGGGACTGAGCGTGTGGTGGCGTACGCAAGCAGAGAACTAAGAGGTTCAGAGAAGAATGACAAAAACTATAGTGCATTCAAGTTGGAGCTGCTTGCATTAAAGTGGGCAATCACTGAAAAATGTAGAGAATACCCTATGTATTCAAAATTCACTGTAATTACTGACCATAACCCTCTACGGTACCTCTACTCAGCTAATCTTGGCGCAGTTGAGCAGCGCTGGGCAGCGCAGCTGGCCGAGTACGACTTTGAAGTATGCTATAAACCTGGCCGACACAACACTGATGCGGATGCCCTGTCAAGGATCCCCTCAAGGGAGGAACCGGAGGAGGACGATGATGGAAAGGATTTCATCCGGCTAGGAGCTGACGAGGTGAGAGCATGCTTGTGGCCAGGTAAGAGGATTGACCAAGAGGAACCTGAAGGTAAAGCTGTGATGCAAGCATCAATAAGAGGAGAAATAAACGGGTATAGCTGGAGCGAGATAGGAAAACAGCAGAAGAATGCTCCGGTGATTGGCCCCATATATAAAGCAGTATCCGAGAACAAGAGACCAAGTAGAATGTATCATAGTTGTATGGAGCCAAAACTGAAGAAGAGTTTGACCGTCTTAAGTTGCGTCAGGGAGTGCTGTTGAGATGCATCCTGGACCCTAGGGATGGAGAAGAGATCTGGCAGGTGGTTGTTCCTGAGCCTCTACAGCGTGAAGTGTACGAGGGACAACATGAACACGGAGGTCATTTCGGAGAGAGAAGTACATTAACTCGAATGAGACGAAGTTATTACTGGCCTACCATGTCTGCAGATGTTCCATGCTGGATAAAGCAGTGCAAGAGATGTGCACTGGCCCAAGATGTTTTCCCCAGGCTTCGAGCCCCTATGACATGCAGTAATGTTTCAGCTCCATTAGAGGTCCTAGCCATGGATTATACCGATATGTTTACCAGGTTTACAGTTGCTGTTCCTACCAGGAATCAGACAGCGAATACAACGGCAAAGGCCCTGCTCAAGCACTGGTTTGTTTATTATGGCTGTCCGGTTTGACTCATGACTCAATTTAGTTTGACTCATGGCCCTAAAGGTCTGTAAGAAATTTGAAAGAAATCGGCCACTGTAGAGCGATATCACATTTTTCAAGTGTGTAATAGACTGTATATTGCGCAATTTTTCACAAATACGTGGGTCAAAGACGAGACATCACCATTTTGGTGTCCGCATCAAATTAAATGAACAAAAGTAATTTTAAATACATAAAACATGTTCTTCTGTAAATTATTGTACAAAATGTATGATAGTCATTTATTTTTTTGCTCAGAAAAACAAAATTAAATGGGATACATTTTAATTTATGGATTGAAACCCCCTTTTCGTCTTTGAACCACACACGATATTCATATCATATGATAGATCACCTCATTCTGAACAACTCTGGCTCAAGAACCACTGCTGTCAATCAATTAATTTAAGCATTTGAAATTATGAAAAAAACCTACTTTTGCAAACTAGTCCTAGGTTTTCTGCTCAACCTCAATAAAACCACTGCAGTACAATTCTCCGGACTCTCTAGATCAATAATTATCTAAAAAAATGTTGACCTTTACCCTTTGGGTAGCTATAACGGGGTAATTTAGAAAAGGGGTGTGGCCAAATATACCCAAAAGCCTATAAATCTTAAACGAAAACTCAGAACTTCACAAAACATGTGACATATGATGCTAAACATGCATGCAAAGTTTCATGGAGATCTGACCATAGGTGACACTATAACAGTTAAAAAGGTGTCAAAAACATATTTCTATGGCGAATGACCTCAAATTGCAAAAAAAAAAAAAAATAATAAAAATAAAAAATGTTCCTATATTCACACATACACTGGATCTTTGTATCATACGATAGATCTCCTCATTCTGAACAACTTTGCCTCTAGGACCACTTTGCAGAGCCCCACCAAAATATTCACCCAAAACATAGACCTCTACAGACCAATTTGGAATAGACGTCACAGTTACGTCACATGCAGCTGCGCGCACATTGTGGTGATAGAAAACACTGGGAACAAGTAGAGGGAAACAGGTAAAATCCATCGAATAAGAGAAAAAAATTTATTGTTGTGCCTTTGGATATCAGAATCGGAATGCAAATAATTTTTATAGAATACTGTCATCAAAATAGCCATTTGAAGCTAAACGCAGACGTTTAAATGAACATACTATGGATGAAAACTGCTATGATTACTTTTAAAGCATAAATTTGATTTAAACAATGGGTCTACAGAATATTCAGATATGCAGTTCATAGGGGACGTATTGTATTAACTTAGCCCTACAGTTACAGCATGAAATATTATTTAAACCTATTACTATTAACATTTTACATAACATTTATTCATTTTATCTCACAATTCTGACTTTTTCTCACAAATGCAAGATTATATCTCCTAATTCGGACTTTATAACTCGATTTAACTCAAAAATAGTGAGTTTGTCAATTCTGAGGGAAAAAAGCCAGAAGTGTGGGATGTATATTTTGAGCCGAAGGGAAAAGAGAGAATGACGAGTTGTTTTTCCTTATCAGTATTGTGAGATATAATCTCGGAATTGCTAGAATAAAGTCGGATTTTTAAAATATAAAATCAAATGTATCTTTTTTTTTATTCTTTTATTCTTCTCTAGCCGTAAAGGCTATCTCTCCCAGGTTTTCTGCAACCATGATGCGCGCGCATCCCGAATGTTTACAAACCTATAATTAGCCTATATAAACTCAATAAATAATACACTGTAAATGTGTTCAGTATTCTGCAACAAATATTTTTCGGATTTTCTTGACAATTTTAAGTCATAAAGTGCGCTGGATATATTAAAATTCATCGCAAGCTTTGGCAGGCACGTAAAATGATACTAAGTGGGCAGTCGTGCGGGTGTCCTCCCGAACTCAACAGTTCCCCACAAATTTTACAATGTAAATCTGTGGTGACAGTGGAACTGCAGCACACTCTAATTGAGAGCCATTTGGGCAGTTTTGAGACTGCCCCGCATAGGACATAATAATGCCAGGACATTAGATCTCTGTGTACCCATAAATACACATGAACTAGACGAAATGACTAGCAAAGAGACAGCACTATTTTGGATCACTGTTACACAGCAATAAAGGATGCATATCACTCTGTCCCACGAGCAGCTTTGGGGCTCTCTGACCACTGTTTGGTTCATCTAATACCGACCTACAGGCAGAAACTGAAATCAGCTAAACCTGTATTAAGGACTGTAAAAAGATGGACTAATGAAGCAGAGGAGGATTTACAAGCTTGTTTTGACCTCACTGATTGGAACGTCTTTGAAGCTGCAGCCACCGATCTGGACGAGCTCACAGAGACTGTAACTTCATATATCAGTTTCTGTGAAGATATGTGCATTCCTACCAGGACATTCTTATCATTTAATAATGATAAACAGTGGTTTACTGGGAAACTCAAACAGCTTCGTCACGCCAAAGAGGATGCTTACAGAAGTGGGGATAAAATCTTGTATAACCAGGCCAGGAACAGACTAACAAAGGAGATCAGAGTGGCTAAAAAAAACTACTCAGAAAAGCTGAGAAAAGAGCTTTCAGCAAACGATCCAGCGTCAGTATGGACTGGTCTGAGGAACATCACCATGTACAAGACACCACCCGCACAGCTTGCGGAGAATCAACAACTGGCTGACAATCTGAATGTGGCCAACCCTAAAACAACATACAGAACTACCACATTTTGCTATAAGTTTGATTGCATCATATAATAATTGCTGTTAATAGTGTTCATCGTCTGTTTGATTACGTCTTTTATTGATTTTTCCGTACATTTCTGCCATATGTACATTAACTGACAGTCACCACTGATAAGCTACCACTAAATATTGTAGAAACTTAATTTGCTGTAAAGTTGCTTTGCAACGATTTATATCGTGAAAAGCGATATACAAATAAACTTGAATTGAACTGAATTGAATTGAATCTCTGCCAAAAGTGTGTGTGCATGTGTTAGGCTAAAGACTATAAGCTTTCTTGAGTTTATTATAAACCAACACTACGACCCAGAATCTGCCCCGCCTAAATTTACTGTCAGGAGCCGCTACATTTAATTTCTGTGTGTGTTTGTGAGCGTATTCTCCATCATGGATGTGTTTTAGTGCCAGCCATACATTTTGGGTTGGACTAGACCCTAAAAGCATAGAATCTTAAAGGCCTTAAAGTGCTTGAACCCTGGTAATTGCTGCTTGCAGTATATTTTAAAATGTATAATATTTGCCATTGGAGAGCTTGTGTGTCCATACAAATGTGGTTTTGCCAGATATCATCTCCCATGCACTAGCTGTGATGTTTGATTAACAAACAACTGAAGACTTCTATGAACTGGTTATATTTAATGATTCATGAAACGGCCTCAAATTTGCTTGTGAGTTTGCGGTTTGAATCACGCTCATTGTGTCAGTGAATCAATCATTCAGAGTCATTACTGACTACTTCACTGACTCGCAGAACTGTGAATAATTTTTCTGCTTGTTCAAAAGGAACCAGGAGCAGTTACTTCTGACTTTCAGCAGAGTTTTGTTAAAGGAAATAGTATTAAAAAAACTGCAACAACAACCCGCAGCCCTGTAAGCATGCTTGAGTTCTTTATTTGAAGAATTCCTGCCTATTTATGCATAACCCTACTCTACAGATACAGTTCTGCAGTGTCTCAAAATTCAATATTTCATTCGACGTGAAGGCCTTGCATAGTCTGTGATCAGCACACATAATGTTGAAATTTTATTTCTTTGCTGCCTTTTGCTAACTTTGACTCCAAAGGACAAACTGTTATAGACGTTGTTGATACTTGTACCTTCAACAATGGCGAAGATTCTCAAAGGCACGTGCAGTTTTGAAGCTAAGTTGATAGAGTGGACGTCGTCCATTGAATATTAAATAAAACCAAGCTCAATTTTATTGACATGACTGTTGTGCTTTTTCCCATCTTAAGATAAATATATGCTGATTGATGTGCATGGCATATTTATAGAGTTTTTCACCTCTCTGTTTCTCTCACTTTGTGGCGCAGCAGAACATCTGTCTCACAGAACTGTTAATTTATTCAAGTTCTTTTCCCCCGGAATTTGGAAATTCCCAGGATGTTAATTAAAAACCATGAAAGAGAACACAGTACAACGTGCTGCGTCTGCCTGCCTGCTGTCCCCAGCAGCTCCAGCAGGAATTCATCCTCTCTCTCTCTCTGATGGAAGAGCAAAATTACAGCACACAGTCTGAGCCGATCTTCCCAAACCTTTATCTTAAATGACACAAAATGACAGAACAGCAAGGTGATGTATGAATTTGTTTACTGGTTTATATATCAATGTGATTAATTGTGTGATTTCAATCTGAAGGTCAAGATATTATTCGTATCATTTGTGTTAAAGTTCAATGCTTATATATGTTTTTATAAAAAATATATTTTTATTATACATACATTTTTATATTGTATATATTTTTTAAATAATAATAATAACAATAATACTGTAATATATTACTGTTATTGTAATATATTTTAGAATTATATTTTATACAGTATATGTATAGTTCTGAATAATAAATCTCTAATATATTTTTATAATTATCTTAAATATATGGATAAAGAAACAATTATATTAATGATGATAATAATAATAATGAATGATAAATTATGAAAGTATTCTTTAAAATATGAAGTATTCTGAGGCAGACAAGAATATACAATTTATTTTGTCTCTCACTCTGTCCCTTTCTGTTTCTCGATCACACAGACACGCACACACACAATCCCTATAAGACAAAGTTATGAGGGGGAAGGTGACATATTTAACCCTCCTGGAGTTTTTTTTCTCTCTTTAGGTATCATCTTGTGCTTTTACCCAAGTGTGAAGTGTGCAATTTTTGACATGTTTTCTATCAAGCTGCTAAAACACTCTAAAAGAGGAAGTCCGCTTCTATTTCTGCCTTTAAATATGATCATATTTGCCATCCTAAATATGTTTTACAAATTG